CTTCCCGGTCAAACTTCCAAACTCAAATTTCCGAATAACCTGAAAACCAAAACCGACGATTCACATAAGTCATAATACATCATACGGAGCTACTCATGCCCTCAAACAACCGAGGAAAGTATAAATGCACAAAACGACCAGTCGGATCGTTACAAGATTCCATACTCAATTTTGGCTCCTTTATTTTTTTTTTCCTCCTTTTTCTTTCCTTTTGTTCATTTTCTTTATTTCGTCTTCCTTTTCTAAATTAATTTAGCTCTTTTTTTCTTTTGCTCTTTTGTTATACATAATCTAATTACATTTACTTTTTTTGATATAGTAAATATTTATTCACCCTCTTTAATATAACTGATAGTATAATCTATTTGTCTTTCTTTTTTATCTTTTTCTTCTCTTCTTTAAATCAATTAATAGAACAACTTACACATTATACATGTTTTCTCTTCTCTTTTTTTCATTGTATTTTTTTTTTGAAAGTATATGTATTACTGTAAATATTTCTAGCACATAGGATCCAAAATTATGTATCATTATAATAAAATGGTATATTAGTATAAGAAAATGGCATATTGTAAAATACTTGTCACAATAGTATATCAAAACTGCATATAAATATACCAAATAAGTATATTACTATTTTATGTGTTCCGACACCTACTTCTTATACGATGAATATTATTTTTATGGAGCTCCATCAAAAAATTCAATTTAAGAAAAAATGTGCAAGGACCTAGTTGAAAAATTTTAAGAAATTAAAAAAGTTTTATTTATTATGTTATACTGTTATATTATATTGTATACTATTACTATAACTATGACTTTAACTTTGCACAATAGCGCCGAGACGATTCAAAAAAATATCAGTCGAAGTAATTATTAGGGTAGATTGTATACTATTACAACTTACTGTTGCACTGTATTGCATATTATTAAAGTATACCATTATATTATATTGTATACTATAACAATATATTGTTTCAGTATAGCTATATACTCCTAAAGTATATTGTATACCATAGCAGTATACTATTATGTGACTTTGTTCTTTTTCGATTATTACAATATACCGTTGCAGTATATTTAATACTTTAACAGTATATTATTGCAGTATAGCAATATACTCCTACAATATATTATATACCGTAGCGGTATACTGTTGGGTAACTGTGTTCTTCTTCAATTTTCAGCAAAAAATTCGATCTCAATCACCTCAAATCAGCTCCAAATGCGATCAAATTTCAGTATGAACTTCCAGAAGGTACTATAAGCAATATTTAATAACTTTTTAATCAAACAATGAATGTTTAAAATAAAAATTTTAAATTCAAGACCTTCAAGCCCAACAATGGTAGATATTAAAATACACACAAAAATTCAGATCCGGAAGCTTACTTGAAGGTACTATAAGCAATATTTTATAGCACCCACATCGAATCAAATAATAAATCTTCAAAATAAAATTTCCAATTCAGGAGCTTCAAGCTCAACAATAGTGGATCTTCACACACACACAAAAATCAGATCTAGAAAACTTAATATATAACCACAACAACACATGGGTTCAGAAATACAATAAATACACAAAAAAGAATATACTAATATAGAAAGAGAATTTTGGAGTGAAACTCATGTACAATAATATGAAAACTTGTCTTTTAAAATTTATATAGAAAATTTAAAATTTTTTTGGATAAATGCATGGGTTTGTACTAGATTTCATTATCCACTAAAAGCCTAAGCTATGAGGTTTTTTTTAAAGAGGAAAGGAATGTTTGGGGTGTGGAACTCTGCTTGTATAGAGAAATTTAAAAAGGAAAGGGGATTGGGTAGGCGGATAAATAGTTTAGACCATATAGGTAGGAAAAGTGAATCCTTTGGGCTTGGGTATTAAATGATAAATTGTTTGGGCTTAATGGGTATAAAGTGAAAATTTCCCCTTTTTAAAACTTTTTGGTAAAAATAGCACGGGCTAGCCAGTTTTCGGACTGGTCATTAAAAAATAGCCAACGTTTGCAAAGTCATTGAAAAATAGCCACTATTTTGCTGCAACACAGAAAGTCCCAGCATAATATACTGGAGATAGGGGTGTTCATGGTCGGTTTGGGTCGGTTTTTTCCTAAAATGAAACCAAACCAAGTAAGTCGATTTTTCAAATATTAGAACCAAACCAAACTAATTAAGTCAATTTTTTATCGATTCGATTTTGTCGATTTTTTGGGTTTTCGGTTATTTATCGGGTTTTTTCTTAAATATGAGACATACACTACCAAACGCATATTCCGTCGTCTACATTTTCAACGTAATACTATCAAATCAATTGCTCTTTGAGAAATCTATCATTTACCAAGATATATTGATGATAATTGAATCAAATAGTGATGAATAATTTAAGTACTCAATTAAAAATCGATTATTTTTAACATGAAATAAATTCTTGTACTTAGTAAAAGAAAACTACCAATCAAACTTGAATGTAAAGGCAAGGAATTAGATGATTATAATAGCAAAGAACTAGACTAAAAATATAAATGACTAATATGTACCATAAAATTTTAGAAACTTTATATGAAAATATACATAAATATAGGTGTAATAATAAATTTAAATAACTACTTTTATAGTCGGTTTGGTTCGGTTTTTTTTCCGACTATTTTTTATTAAAACCAAAACCAAACCAACTTTGATCGGTTTTTAAAATTCAAAATCAAAACCAAACCAAACCTAAAAAGTATCGGTCTTTTTGGTCGGTTTGGTTCGATTTTCGGTTTGGCACGGTTTTTCGGGTTTTTATGAACACCCCTAACTGGAGATCGGTGCACTTGTATGAACTTCCAGTATATTATGTTGGAACTTCAACACACGGAAAGTTCCAGCATAATATACTGGAGATTTGAGCACCTATGTATAAACTTCCAGCATACTGGATCGATATATTATACTAGAACTCCAGTATAATATACTGGAGTTCCAGTATACTTATGCATGAACTCCAGTATACTGGAGTTCAGATTTATCTTTACATGAAAAGTGGCTAAATTTCGGTTACTTTTAAAACTATGACTATTTTTGAATGACCACTTGTAAATCTGGCTATGTTTGAATTGGAATTTTTACATTCCTATACCACATAGGAAACCTTTTTACCCTATATGTTTAAGGTTTGAGTAAATTACACTTAGTATACCAAATTACCAATCCTATACCATGCTTAATTAAGGGTCTAATTAATGGGCTGTTTTTACTCCTTAATTAAAGGTATCCATATCTAATTAATGGGCAATTTTTACTCCTTAATTAAAGGTATCCATATATCTCACGTTTCTCTCTCCTTACCCCTCACCCACGTTTTTTACCCATACCCCACATTCTTTCTTGTTCTTCATCCACGATTGCAAGATCAATCAACGAAAGATGTCCTTGAGATGCATTAGCCAGCGAAATCTCATTATATTTGAATGTCGTGCCAATTTCCTCTGCAACAATTGTTTTTGGGTACCAAACAAAATTCCCTCTTCTGGAAAAGTCAAAAATGAGAAATTTATTGATAAAGAGACTAATATGAAAAGCTGCCGACAACTTCTCCAAACGACTTAGAAATACTGACTGTTGAAGCCCTCACCTAGATTTACTGTTTGTCGTGTATTTTGTAGTGTAATTGCAGTGTAATTGTAGTGTAATTGTAGTGTAATTGTAGATTTAGTGTAATGGATATGATCTGTTGAAGCCCTCACCTAGATTTACTGTTTGTAGTGTAATTGTAGTTAGTTTGTAGTTTATGTAGAACATTCCACGATTAATTGTAGTTATTCTTATATTAGGTACTTAAACTGTAGGTAATTTTTAGATGTTTACCTCCAAGTTTTATGTAATATTTGTATATAACTGTCAGTTGAATATAAATTACACAACAAAAAATAAGAAATAAATACTCCAATCGTAGAAATGTGTTATCCACAATTAATCTGCAAATTGTCTACAAAATTTTACAAAAACTACAAATTAACTACATTTAACCTACATTATAACTACAATCTGGAAACAATTTACACATGGAAGTTCTTCAAGTTGGAATTGGCCACAACTACATTTCTTATTTTCTAGACACACAATGTACCGATTCACACCATCCAACGCAGTATGTATATGATCTGTTGAAGCCCTCACCTACATTTTCAGAACAAACACAAAGAAAAAAATTTTACAATATTAAAAATATAGTATCTACAATATATCTACATTTTATCTACAAATTAACTACAAACTACAAGTAAACTACAATTTGCCTACAATTTATCTACAATCTGGAGACATTGTATATTAAAATATTTTTTTCCTACACCAAATAAAGAACTTGTAGTCAAATTGTAGATATATATAGTAAATTTGTAGATAATATCATAAAACTAAAAGTCTAAGCATTTTCGAACTACACAAACCTGCATTCTCATCTACCACAATGGCATCAACTTCAAAATCTCTAAATCTGCCATAGTTATCCCAATTCCCATTCAATTTTAGCATTTTTGGGATTTTTGACATGATTTCATGTAGTTGAGAGAAAAAAAGATGAAGAACAGATATAGGTTCGACAATTTGAGTACTGAGGACGATGAAGAACAATTTTGAATTCTACAATTTGTATTGCGTTGTTGAAGCTTCTGAAGCTCTGCGTTGTTTTTGAATTGTAGTGAAAGAGAGAATTACGCAGCAATCAGATCTCTTTCCGTTTCAAATTTCGAATTTAATGTGGAAAGAATCAAACGCAGATTTTGTGCCTTTTTTTTTCGCGCGTTTTAAATGGCAGAATCTGCCTAATTATGGATTGGTATATAAATTGTAGTTAAAGTATGGACTGGGCGGGTAATTAACAAATTATGTACATTTTTGGTAATAAGGTTTCATATACGGTATAGGAAGTAAAATATCCCTTTTGAATTTCATACAAACTTTTGCCCATTTCGGCCCAGCTAGCTTTACCTGACGCAAGCCCAAACAATTTTTAGCTTACTTGCAGTTGGTATATAGAGAACGTCAACTAGGGCAATATTGCAGTAGCATTCCTCTAAGCCGCAGGTCTTAAACGGGGACGAAGCCATGGGGAGAAGTAAGCTTAGAACTCTCTTTGATTATATTAATTCTCATTCTTCCGTGCAATTTTTCCCCCTATAAGTATTCTAATCTGGTAAAAATGGTGCTGATTTATGCCCCTTGTGTTGTCGCTTGTGTATATGATGTTCTTTATACAATCTCCAGTATTTGGATAAATTTATTTCTCTGTTTTATACAGTAGATTAATCTTTTTTGTTTTCCTTGAGCTTTTCGGTGTTGGCTTAAGTGAAGTATTTGTTTAAATCTTTTGTGTGTAGTCATCATTCTATATTAATCAAATGTGGGGTTCATTTGATTTAGTTTTCTTTATACCGTTTTTCTTGTTCGTGTGTCTGATAGGAATTAAAAGGACTTTTAATTTCAATCTCTAATACACTTAATCTAAAATTACACTTAATCTAGTTGATATTCAACTGAGGGGGAAGATTTTAAGCGGTCGTCCAACAAAATTGAGGCTCTTTGTTATAGACTACAGTATGTTTTTTGCAGTATTTTCGAGATTTTCGGGTGTGGTGTTTGCACGTCTATCCAAAATGCTGTCTGGATGGTAGCTAGTATTGGCTCGTTATATATCACCATTGACCTCGGCATTGCTAGTATCAGCTCATTTTATGTCTAACACTGACCCTTGCCAGAGCCAGAGCGTACTTGCATTTGCATTCTTTCTTTACATCATCAATGATTTGTATAATGTTTTCAATTATGTTGCACAGGACCTGCAAGATGTTACCGTCAGATTAAGAACAAGCCATACCCAAAGTCACGGTTTTGCCGTGGTGTACCAGATCCAAAAATCAGGATCTATGATGTAGGTATGAAGAAAAAGGGAGTCGATGAGTTTCCATTCTGTGTTCACTTGGTCAGTTGGGAGAAGGAGAATGTCTCCAGTGAGGCGCTTGAAGCTGCCCGTATTGCTTGTAACAAGTACATGACCAAGTCTGCTGGGAAAGATGCTTTCCACTTGAGGGTCAGAGTTCATCCCTTCCATGTTTTGCGTATTAATAAGATGTTGTCGTGTGCTGGAGCTGATAGGCTCCAAACTGGAATGAGGGGAGCTTTTGGTAAGCCCCAGGGTGTTTGTGCTCGTGTTGCTATCGGTCAGGTTCTTCTCTCAGTTCGCTGCAAAGATGGCAACAGCAACCACGCCCAAGAGGCTCTGCGCCGTGCTAAGTTCAAGTTCCCTGGTCGACAAAAGATCATTGTCAGCAGGAAGTGGTATGCCCTAACTTTTTAATTTTCTTTTATGTATCTTTGTACATTTCCATACTGTTTATTATTCATCAGTTTGTACATTGGTGTATATGGTGCTGCATTACTTCATTAGCTTGGTTAACTTTAGGAAGGTACATTTTAAAGCATATATGAATTTCTGGTTGATGATAACTTTATCCAAACCAATTCTCGGAGTGCATGTTCCAACCGAGATTTATTAAGTACCAAAAATGGTTGTTTCTTTGAGCTGAATTCAACCATTCAAGGCACTCAACATGAATTTGAGTGTTGGCGTATCTCTTTTTCTTAGTTTCTAAAGGTGGAGGATTAAACATTGTGTGATTTTAGGTAGACAAGTCATTTGTTTCAGAAGTTCGTTGATCAAACATGTTATTTCATCTGTGCCGTTTTTTTTCATTTCAGGGGGTTCACCAAGTTTAGCCGTACTGATTATCTGAAATACAAGTCAGAAAACCGTATTGTCCCAGATGGTGTGAATGCTAAGGTTTGTTTCCTTATAGTATAATATTCACATCTCAAAGCCTGAATCTAATAAAACATACAAATCATGGCTTGTTTCCAGTGATAGTTTGCACTGGTTTGCAGATGACAACTTACAATTTCTTCTTGGTTGCTTTTGCAGCTTCTTGGGTGCCATGGTCGACTTGCTGCACGACAACCTGGAAGGGCCTTTCTTGAAGCAGTTTAGGAATTGGAGCGGCATAATATTTATCTAAATAGCATATTTATTTTTCTGCATCCGACTGAACGAAATTTTGTGGCTTGAACTTCTCTCTGCTTGTGAACTATTATTGGAGTTGTTATTATTCTTGTGCTGTCCCTTGCCATCTCTGCTTTAGCTGTACAAAGTTAATTTCAATTGCTACTTATTTAACTTCACCAACCACATTAACGTTGTGCTTTTATTGATGTATAGATTTTTCTCTGCACTCTAGATTTAGGAGTAGGAACTTAGCACAAGCGGTCATTTATCTTGAAAAATATTAGACTGGAAGGACGAGTCCATAGGCCACGAGAGGGGTTTACGGGAGAATTGGTTTTACTCTTAGGCGGGATATTTGTGTTGGATTTTGTTCTTTATTCTTTCAATTAGTTTTAGTTTAAGTGGTTGGGTGGATGGAATTTGGGTTAATTCTTCTTCATAAAATAAAATTGTGAGTCTCCCAACTAGATTGGTCTTAGCTTAATATCCCAATAATTGGTGGTTCTTAATAAACTCTGCCTCTTTGACCCTTCAGTTTCTTCTCTATCTCTTCTCCTGTACCAAGTACGCCAAAAATTTTCAATTTTTGAAGCTTAAAATTCTTGTTAGGTAGTGGTAGTTTGCAGTTAATGGTCAATTACTGTTATAATCGTTTAAGTGTTAATTATTTATGTTTATACTTTTAGTTTAAACTCTGATTTAGTTATTTGTTTTAAAAATCTGAAAACTCAATTATTGGTCTTTAGAAGGTGTTCAAAAAGACAGTGCATTTCTTGATTTTGTGTTATTTGACTAAAGTGATGACTGAGGATCATTTGTGCAGGTATTTGGAGGTTTTATTTCATATTTGAGATCATTTGGAACAGATTCGGTGGTTCGATCGAAATTGGAATTACAAATTCGAAGAATATTTTGTTAAACAATACATAAAAATTATGCCAATCGGTAGACTTTGATGAAAATTAGATAAGTCGATTGCAGGTAATACAAAGTTATACCAATCTGGTAGTTTGATGAACAATTTTAACAAGCACAAAATTATGCTAGCCGGATAGAGTTTGTGAATAATTAATAATAGGCATAAACTCTATCGATCCGATAGAGAAATTCTTGAAAAATGCATGGGTTTGGAGGTCATTATTCAAAAACAATGATAATATGTAGAGATTAGCTTTTATAGGGCCATTCCTGTCGATCATCCCTGACTGGCGAGTTGTTGGACGAGTCAAATAATTATGAGTTCAATTTGCCATCACTACTTTTAGCTTGCCAACATCAACCTAAATCAAAATATTGTTCTAAGTATTCAAGATCCGTTCCTAGCATCTAATAAAATTAGTTCATACCCAAGGTTTTGCATCCTGCGCGTACATATTAGATTTTTGGTGTTCGGCCAACTTGTATGTTTCTAGACTAATTTTATCGGAGTATCTGTTATCTTCCACCAACATAGGTATCGGATAACTCTGTCAATCTGAGCTTGGATAGATGAAAAAGATTTGAACACATATGGGATTAAAGTGTTACATAAGAGAACTACTAATTCCTTGTTTAATTATGTTCGACGAAATATTGTTGTTAAGTGAATGATGCTAGTTATCATAGCCGCTTCATTCTCGACATTCCCCAGCGACTTGCTAAAATTAACGTTGAAATACAAAATGTATAAAATTTTCTTCGAAAGACTCGAATAATGTTAAATGGTTTCTTGAGGCATCTTCGCTCCGTGAACCCGGCTGCTATTGAAGCCCGAATGGAAGCAAGCCGTCAAAGAATTTGGGAACTAGAAGAAAGACTCCAGAGACTACGCCAGGAGCAGCAGGCACTGATCGTGGAGGCAATCTTCCTTTCATGTGTAGATGCACTTTTATAACAACGAGGTGGAAAGACCTCCTAAGCAAGTATGATATACTTCATATGACTAACATAAAATTATGAATCCACTTCACTAGAAACACTCATGGCTAGATATTGGATATTAATCCGATATCGAACCTATGAGAAAAAAAAACATAAATGTGCACACAGATTCTGTTCATTTTTTCCGTCAGTGATATTCACTAAATGCATGTTTCGAGCTTCTATCGAACAAAGTTCACGAATCATACCATGCATTCTACAAATCTCGATTTTTCCAAACTCAAATAGTAAAAAAGAAAATTAAACTTCTATCTACAAGATTTTTTTAAACATTTTCTTGCCACCTCTTCTTTCATTTTCTTCTCCTTTACCTTTAGAAATCCTTCAGCAGCCCATAATTTCACAAGCCTATTAAAAAATTTATTCATCCTCCGAAAAGATAGCATAATAGAGAAAGCACATGTTTAGGTGATGAGGCAACTGATGAATACTCAAAGCGAGCACTCTCATGCATTGTAGGTCGAGAATGTACGACAACAACAATATACTCAGTATTATCCTATACTGTGGGACTTGGGGAAGGTAATGTGCATGGACGAAGTTACATTCACTTAAAGGGTGGTCAATTGACTATCATTCGTTGGAAAATAACACGGTATTTATAGGTAAAATATTAAGTCTTTGTCGACAAAATTTTTTCACTTCGTTCAATTGAACACCCTTGGAAAAATTCTTGGCTTCGCCACTGGTTATGTGTACGCAGACCTTACCCCTACCTTGTGAGGATAGAGAGGCTTTTCTCAATAGACCCTCGGCTCAGGAAAGCATAAGCACTACATTAATGAAAATATAGACAAGAAGGGACAATACCAAAAAGCCATATAAAAGCAGAATAAAAATAACAAGATAGTAAGGTTGTTTCCAATAATCACTATGCATTGTACGTCGAGAATGTATAATGATTAAATTTTTATTAATTACTCATAATCAAGTGATAAACTAATATGAGAATTAGGGGTGTACTGTCACGCCCCAAACCTAGGGGGCATGGCTGGTACCCGGTGCCTTACTGGCCCGAGCGAAGAACTCAGTAACTCATGATTGTTCGACCAAAACTAGAACATACACAGGTTGGGTTGACTAAACTAATTCCTTTTGTAACTATCATGGTCCAACATGGCCACAACTTATATTATACAATTATAAGTGGGCAAACAGTACGATCCATCGTACTTAAAACATGAATACACACGGACCGTCAAGGCCTCTAACATACTGTACATAATGAACCTGTGTATACAAAGCCTCTAAGAGTATTCGACATCAAATGGAGAGGGCACCGGTCTACCCATAAGTCTGTAGCAAAACTCTGACACAATGACTTATTGACTCGGTTGCACTCCGAATGAAGTGGAGTCTTACCGTTTCTTCGCTGAATGCTAACCTCGCCTATTGTGAGGTCTCGTCAAACTGATTACCTACACCTGCAACGTCTACAACAAAAAGGACATCAGTACGAATAATGTATCGAGTATGTAAGGCAGAACTGGGACATAACAATAGGTTAACATTAATGAGAGAGATATAAGAATCAACATGACCCTCCGAAGTGCCACCGTATATGCATATTAATTATACTTATATATATAATGCCTCTTTTTGGGACTATTATCCATATCGTATCATGACTTCCCAACTGATTAGTGGTAACTGCCCGAACGGCCGTAGTGCGGTGGTAAATGCATAACTGTCCGACCGGTCGTAGCTCAATGGTAATTGTATGATTGCCCGAGCGGCCGTAGATCGGTAGTAAATGAAGATGCATGACTACCCAACCGCTGTAGCTCGGTGGTATATGCATGACTACCCAACCGGCCGTAGCTTGGTGATAAATGAAGACGCATAACTGCCCAACCGGCCGTAGCTCGGTGGTAAATGAAGATGCATATAACAATACAATATGAACATTAACATAACACAGACCTACTTGAGGCCTCAAATCACACATAACAACATCGAAACAACAAATCGCACCTCAAATTAAGCTTTATGAACTTTTGAACTTTCAACTTTCAAAACTCGTGCTGAACCATATCAAATCAATCCGGAATGGACTCAAAATTTTCACACAAGTCCCCAAATGATATAACAAAGCTATTCCAATTCCTGGAGCCGTGATCCGAACCCGATATCATCAAAGTCATCTCCCGATCAAACTTATGAACATTCCAAACCTTCAAATTGCCATCTTTCACCAACTAGAGACGAAACCTTCAAGAAATATCCAAATGCAAATCCGGGCATACGCCCTAGTCAAAAATTCCCATCCGGACCTGATGGAACTATCAAAACTTCGATCCAAGATCAAATACTCAAAAGTCAAACTTGGTCAACTCTTCCAGCTTAAAGCTTGCTAGTTGAGAATCATTCTTCCAAATAATTTTCGAATCACCTAAAAACCAAAACCCACGATACACACAAGTCATAATACATCATATGAAGCTACTCAAGATTTCAAACATCTGAATGAAATGCAAATATTCAAAATGACCGATCGGGTCATTACATCCGTGACACCAAATCTTGGGAGGTTGTGCGGACGACGTTTGGTTTTAGACTTATTTATATATATTTTTGAATTTTACTCTTACTCTATATTATTATGTTGTTATCTGTTAGACTAGTTTCCTTATTTATTGTTAAGTGTCGGCCTGCTTAACAAGTGGTGCTAGTCGTCATCACGAACCCGTTGGTTAGGATTTGGGTTGTGACATTAGGTCATGCGACGTGGTAGGCGTTTAGTGTGCAGGTGAAGAAACCTATGGCTAGAGGTAGGCTTCATAGACTCAGAGTACATGCTCTGTTGATTTCATCCCGGCGGTAGCAATCCTTCTAACACTCTCATATTTTTTCCATACATTAGTAGTTATTGTTAGTAGACTGTATTTGTAAAATAATTCTGGAAATATAAATGAGTATAAACAGAAATGAACATAAATAGAAATGACATAAAACCAATTCGAGCCCACTGAATTCACAGTGTTTCCTTAAGGAATTTAACCCCCTCCTAGTACCCAAGGTTATGGATTATTTCCTCCCAGGATAGAACGAATTACCCACTGGTGTAGTGGTACTTCAAACCCCAGTGTTTCAGCGAACACAAAGTTCGGTAGCAAATCACACTTACTTTTTGCTTTGTTTGATGCTAAAAGTATGCAGAAGAAGGAGAAGAAACTCAGAAAATCATAGTGAAATTCTGAGCAG